CTTAAAAATCAATTCCCAAAAATTTTAACCACTTTACATTCCCACCACATGTGAAAATACGTACCAATTTCCTCATCACATTTCCAACATGCTTTGGAGTATGTTGGATTTATTATATTCAATTTTACAGGAGTCAAATACCACCTTAGACAGATTTTAAAAAAATTTTCCTTTATTCTTGTTGACATTAATCTTAACACTCTCATCCTCCACATTTTTGTCCAATCCTCTATTTTAATATCTGTTTTTAAATCGTTTTCCCAAATTAATTTTAAACCTTCTATTCCCCATTCTTTTTCCTCTTGTTCCAAAATTATATTATATATTTTACTTACTATTCCTTTCAAAATTGTATCTTGCATATCTTCATGTGATGACAGAAATTGTTCGTACTTAGTAAGTTCTCTACATTTACCATTAGTTTTCAACCAATCCTTTGTTCAGGTGTCTAACTGAATAAGATTATACCATGATAGTTTATTAGATTGCAGTTTAGACATAATCAACTCCTTCAGTCTCATGTTACCCATCCAGTCCTTCAATCTTGCAACCCTTTTATTCTTAAATAGTTCTACTAAATCCTTTAAATTTGTAGGAAGGTTTTCTGTCTCAGTCACTAATTTTAATGGTGAAGTTGAGGGACAAAACTTCTCTTTATATTTATTCCAAATATTTAACAGGTTTCTTTAAAAAGGGTTTTTTATCTGATTTATTGAACTTCTCTCTCTCTCTCTCTCTTTCCTTCTTTCTTGGGAGACAGACCTGGTTTCCTCAATAACATCAACAATAACAAAAAAAGAGAGGCAAAATTGCTTTCTATGCAATCTAAAGGGCACACGGGGACTTTTTAAAATGCAAAATCAGAGAGAGGTGTTCAACTTTAAATTGATATTATGTGGGAGTGTTGGGGAGGCTGTGGGTACGGGAGGGCATTGGGCATCTGAGAGCCACCCTTTGCCCATCCTGTCTTACATTATACAGTATAACTGTGGAAGAGGGCAAAGCTGTAACTGATGGTGTTCAGTGAGATTGAGGATTGTGCTGAGGATCTCTAGAGTAGAGATAAGCATGAACCAGGAAAATGGAGGTTCATTTTGGTTCGTCGCTTTTGACAAACCTGACCTGACCTGAACCAACAAAACAGTGATTTTGAACATTGTGACATTGTGACAATTGTGACAGTGAACACTGTGATTCGTTTTTTAGTCTGCCTCTAATTTAGACATAGTTGTGTGACTCAGTGTCTATTTGATGGCACCTTCTTCAATGATTGATCTATTGAGACCCCTCCTGCAGCACATAAGTGGCAAATAAGCCTCTCAGGTGATTCAGTCCCATTGAATCCAATGGGCCTTGTGCAGACAAGTCGATACAACACAGCACTTTAATTTGTGTGAGCCAATAGTTCTGATTCAAGGAACAATAATCCAGCTTTCCTTAGAGGTGCTTAATGACTTACTCCACATCTCATTAAGATACGACAAAGCGTCCCTCTCCGTGTAGATGGTGTCCCTCTCCGTGTAGATGGTTGGCTTGCTTCAGCTATTGTGATGCTGTTTCAGAGAAATGATCTACACAGCCTGTGCCGGCCTTGGCAAAAGCGGGTTCGCCAATAGGTCGGCCAGGGAGGTGGGAAGTAAGAGACAGGGAGGTAGAAAAGCTTTGCATCCCAGCCTGCAGAGTAGCGAGTGCGAGGATGGCAGGAAGTCAAGGCGTGCTCTATTTTGTCAGTCACCAGGTGGAGGTTGGAGGAGCCTCCCCTCAGGAGTTCCTGGAGTAATCTGTAGTCTGCATATGAAAAATACAAAGCAAAGTTAGAACTTCAAACTTTTAATATCTTTTAAACTATGACTAAGTAACCCCAGTAGGATGTGGTGTAGGTAACCCAGTGGAGGGAGTTGTCTGGATAGCTCAGTGGTTCAGTCATCTGGCTGTGGAGCCAGAGGTTGGGTGTTCGATTCCGCACTGTGCCTCCTTTGAGATCAGCCATCCTGTGTGGCCTTGGGTAATCTGCACAATCCCAGGGCACCCCCCAGAAGGAGGGAATGGAATCCTGTGAAAACACAGGCATCAAAATTCAAACATTTTACAAGCTAAGCGTTCCAGCATCTACCTCTATGGGTAAATCTGTCACTTTTGCTCTCTCTTCCGTTTGCTTTTTTTGTCAATGTCAACTTTATGAAAAAAGGAGTGCCTTTTGGAAAATTCTGTTAAAAAATGGACAGAATGATATCACTCATCCCTGCTTGATGGCAGTAGAAATAAATGTATGAGGCAGAATTAGAAGTAAAATGAATTGTTCTGTACATTTGCGGTTTTCTCCCCTTCTAATTTTTCTGTTGCTAAGGGAGTTTCTCATGAAGATCTTAATACCGGGACAGGCGAATAACAAGACAGGCGGTTCCTCAGATAACTAGGCCTCAAGCCATTTTGGCCATTACGGGTTGATGCCAACTCCAGTAAATAACTGGCAACTGGTGCAGCTGAATGAGTGAAACCATTTTCTTCTCCATCCATAATTGTATATTTCATGTTATTTTTATTCCTTCTTTTTAAAAGGGCACAGACATTTTTTGCAGGCTCTTGATAGTGTTTGCGGAGTCCAGAGCTTAGATACTTTGACCAATTATTGTCATTTCCATTTGCCATATATTAGATACATGGCTTGCAGGAGAGGTTCAGAAACCTAACTCACATTGGTTGTTGTAGGTTTTTTGGGATGTTTGGCTATGTTCTGGAGGTTTTTCTTCCTAACATTTCACCAGTCTCTGTGGCTGGCATCTTCAGAGGACAGGAGTTAGAACTCTGTCTGTGTTCTGGTGTAGTGTGTGGGATAGTTGAGTATTTGTAGCTGTGCGATCAGCTTTTTGTCCATTTCAAGAGATTGGGTGATTATGGTGATCAGGGTGTTTTTTGTTATGGCTATATTGTTGTGATGAGGGGGGAGATGATCTGTCAGAACATGGCCAAACAGCCTGAAAAACCTACAACAACCATCGGATCCCAGCCGTGAAAGCCTTCAAGAATACTAACTCACATTCTTCAAAGTATGGCTGCCCATAGGCTTCTCTGGCATCGGAAGGTGCCCGGCTCCATCTGGCTTTGAAACTCTCAATTCCTGTTTGAATAATGGGTGTAGCAAAAGCACCAGGCTCAATAATGCTGACTTGCACTCCAAAGGGAAAGAGCTCACGTCTTGAGTTGGAAGAAAAAGGAGAACCAAAATTACAAGGACAATAACCTAATATTGATAAGAAACATTTGATTTGGGAATTCTTGGCCCTATTGACCGGAAGGGCTCCCACAATTTCCATCATAGGAAAATAGCTTCTCAAGAGCACATACTTGGAAAAATAAGAGCAGATGTTCATATTGGGCTGAGTGGTAAGAAATTTTTTGACATAAAAACTTCCTTATTTGTTTAACTCAACTGTCACTTGTCTCAATTGTTCACTCAGAAATACTGGTAATGAGAAAAGAATAAAAGGTTTCTGTCTACTCACATTCTTCATAGATAAAACAAACATCATATTGAGTAGAAAATATTAACTGGTTGCATCAACTGAGCTTAACTTATTAACTAGCTTCATGACTGACTAACTGGTTACATAGCTGACTGAACTTTGTAAAGGTAAAGGTTCCCCTTGACATTCAGTCCAGTCGTGTCCAACTCAAGGGCACGGTGCTTATCCCTGTTTCCAAGCCATAGCGCCAGCGGTTGTCCGTAGACAGTTTCCGTGGTCACGTGGCCAGCACAACCAGACACGGAATGCCGTTACCTTCCCACTGTGGTGGTACCTATTTATCTACTTGCATTTACATGCTTTCGAACTGCTAGGTTGGTAGGAGCTGGGACAAGCAACGGGAGCTCACTCCGTCACGTGGATTCGATCTTACGATGGCTGGTCTTCCAACCTTGCAGAACAGAGGCTTCTGCGGTTTAATCCGCAGCGCCACCGCGTCCCACAAGCTGATAGAACACTTCACTCTAATTGTCCACAGACTTCATTGCTAACTGACTGAATTACAGTATTCTGACTGGAAATGGCTCTGAAGTAGATAGGGAACACTTGGCTGCCACAAGATTGACTGACAGCAACCCCAGTCCAGAAAAGTCCAGCTGAGCCAAAACCACTTAAAGGCATCATATGAGGGTGCAATACTGTAATTCCAACAGTTCATAGCATGGAGATGTGTGATAATGAGGAAGGGAAGAGCTACCCTCTGAACTGTGCCAGGCTGCTATGGTGCTAGAGAGTACAGTAAGACCAGTGCCAATGGCTGGAGAACCTAGAAAACTGAAGAAAACTATCATCACCAAAACCAAGAAATTCCCTCTGCTGCTGTTCCCCTTGGGAAAAGAAAGGGGGAGCCAGGTGGGAAACAACATTTGAGATGCCTGCTATACTGTATCTCACTTTTGTTAGAGCACTGGACTGTGTCTTTCTTCGAAGTGCCCAGTGAAAAGTGACTGAAAATCTAGAATAAGAAATGAGTCATTCAGAGTGGTGTGAAAGTATTTTTGAAAAGGTAAATTGGTAGACCTTGGTAATTTTTATAAAACTATTTCATGAGGTGAATTAGATATGTTTTTACCAATGAAAAGCAACTGTAGAGTTTTAACTATCACCGAGGTTCATATTTTCTGCAGAAATTATGAAATTCTATTAGTGCATTATCTAAAGTTTACTGGACTATCAGTGGTTCGTTTAGTTGCAAAACTGTTCCAAAAGTATAGTTTGTCAATTAATGGTGATTTTAGAGGAAATTAATTTATGTAAAGAAATGTAAAAATGTGTATATCCTTCTTTGTTATAATTAAGAGAAGTTGATATCATTCTACAATTGTGTTTATGGGTTTGTTTTTGACCAATGGCAAGCCTATGAATTAACGATCTCCAACAGGGCTTGCAAACTAAATGCCATGGTTTCTTTTATTGGGTTTGTCCATCACATATTGTGGCTTCCTGTTTTCCCAATGCTTCCTTTCCTTACTCTAGGACTTTTTCAAGTTTCTTCATGGCTATTATTCCAAGCCTCGGTTTTCTTCTGATTTCCTGGCTGCAATCATCTGGTTAACTGATGATTAAACAAAGGTATGGAAAATGTTCAACACCTTCTTTTTCTCCATGGTCAATGTTATTATTTTTATTATTATTATTATTATTATGGAATTCTTCTCTACTCATTCTTTTTGTCATCTTACAGTTCAGGTATAATCATCTGCTTTTTCTTATTAAACTTCATCAGCTCTTACTTGAAATCATTGCTGCTTTCTGCCAGTCATATGGCTCACATTTGAAATGACTGATGTTTTTCACACCAATGTTCACTGCTCCTTTATATGACTTTAATCCAGCATTTTATGGGATATGTTCTGTTTAAAAACTGATCAGATAAGGAGATAAAATGCACCCTTATCCAACCTCTTTGATAACTAAAAAAAATATGTTTTTCCATATTCTGTCCTAACTGGAAACCCTTGTCCAGAGAGGAAGTGATGCATCCGGACAGTCAAATTTGGTGGGGCACACATGTTGTGGATTTCTAGGCCTTTATTTCCTGCTGCAATGCTTCCTGGGTATGGCAGCTTTTCAGGAAGCACTTTAGAATCCAAAATAGAACAAACGGTACATCCCTAGTGGCCATTGTTCCAGGCATCTGTTGCTAAATCACTGTAATATAACACATGTGTGTCTCTTTTTGTAACCGGGAATTGGTTTGGGGACTATGCCAATTAACCAAGCAAAAGAGAACACCAAAGAGCTGATATTTTACCTCAGACTGTCAGAGAAGGCCTCCACACCATACTTGGATGGGCAGTAACCGCCTCCAAAGGGTGCCAGTCTCCCCATCACACTGGCCACGTTGACCACCCTCCCTCTGGCTCTTCTCACCAGGGGCAGCATGTGCAGCGTTACGTCGATCATCCCCAAGAGGTTGACATGTATCACATTTTCAAAGTCGTCCTTGGTCAGCCATTCATTGGGATTTAGAGCAGTACCCACACCAGCGTTGTTGACCAAGCCCCAGAGACCTGTATCAAGAGATAATTTTCAGTTTTAAGGTTCGGCTTATCACACATCTTAAGATTTAGATATTTACTAGGGTTATGAAGCAATCATACAATTTGGTTTGGATGCCAATATGGCAATTTGCACCAGGGCCTGGTCCAAACCTCACATCATAACCATGATTTGGAAATCTAAAGAGCGATGGCTTTTTTTCACCTAAACAGAAAGACTAAAATGGTTATACCTTGGGATCAGGGTAGTTCATAAATCATAAACCATGAAACTCATCTATGGAGAGATTTACTGTGCCAAACTGCAGACACTTGGCTGTTCAGATTTCTGCCCTAACCACTTTCAATTTTTGCTAACACTTTTCACAGGAGTGCCAAAACAAGTTTGTTGAAGAAAAAAATCTAGAGGGAGTACGTTGAGCCCTGTTTCTATGGACAATGCCTGAGGCAGCCCAGTGGCTGTTGCAGCATGTTAGCTTAGATAATTGTCGAGTCACGTTGTATCTGAAGTAAGCCAATTACATTGCTAGCACAACAGCTATAATGGGAGCCTGTCACCTTTGTCCCCAACACATGCTTTCACCCACTCCATGGCTGTGGCAACACTCTCCGTGGAGGTGACATCCAAAATGGTGGTTTTCAGTCTCCCTGAGGTGGCCTTCTCAAGCTCCTCTGCCCCTTTCTGGGTAAGACAGGCAGCCAACACCTGCATACCCCGGGTGTCCAGCTGCCTGGCGAGCAGGTTCCCAAAGCCAGAGTCACAGCCGGTGATGAAGACATATTTCTCTGTCAGTTTCTCCACAGTCTGTCTCTCCCAGTACCAGCGACGAAGGAAGTAAAGCCCCAACAGGGCAGCCAAGTAGAGCCACATCGCTACGACCTGTGAGAAGAGAGATCAGAATGGGAAGGTTTTAGATCTGGATTGTAGCCATGCTTGGCTTCATGGTCATGTATCCCTTGTCATAAGTGTGTCTCTCAGTAGTAAGTCTCAAAATGGTGGAAACTGTTTGAGATCAATAGATCCAAAGACCCTGCTTTTTTTTTACAGAGAGGCAGAGGTTTCAAAGTGATAATAACATCACTTTGCTTGCCTTCTTTAGATTGTCTGGCCCATTGTTACTTCTGCTTCAGCCTTGAGGGTCATTTTCCACCACTGACATTTCTGTACTGACTTCCTTGCTGTCTTTGAATGGCTCCAGATGGAGCTTTCCTAGCACCACCCACACAAATACATTGCATGATGAATGCTCCTTATTAACATATTTTCTGTATCAAGAAAACAGATTCTCTGAACTCTAGTTGTGAGAGAGAAAAAAAGAGATCAGCAGAAGAAATACACTTTCTATAACATGTGTTTTGAGTGTTGGTTTGTGCAGCTTCATAACCATCCATTGAAAGACAAGCTGAACTATCACAGGGAGCGTATGAAATATAAAGCAAGACCTGATTTTATCATGAAATACGATACCCATTAGGGGGTGCTGATCATACTTCTCAGACCTTCCAGATCTTAAAAGTAAATAAGAAAAAAAGATTTTGCTCATCTTGAAGATTTTGCAACTATGTGGCACACAAATCTTAATCCAGATTATTTCCATGATCATTTTCGTTGTTTTTAAAAGGCTTTCTTCAATCCATGATCCTGGCTGGATAGCTCAGTGAATTTGGTATTTTACTTTGAAGCCAGAGGTTAGAAGTTCAATTCCACAATGTACCTCCTGAGAGAGGAACCAGCCTCTGTAGCCTGGTGCAACTGCACAGTCTCATAAAAGGAAAAGGAAAAACATGTCTAAATATTCTCTTGCTAGAAAAGCCTAGAAAGGGTTGCTGTCAATTGAGATTGGTTTGACAGCATGTAATTATTATTTATTATTCTCTGTACTGCTTTCAAAATACAGGTTATTTTTAAAAAAGAAAAATGCAGTGTTTACACAGAAAAGATTGATATTCGAAATTTCTTGTTCTAAATAAAACTGTGTGGAAAACTCTGTTACTTCCACCTGATGCTAATGATTACATCAAATAATGCCTATGAGTGCAATGTAAGGTACAGTCGTGCCCCACTTAACAATTACCCCGTATAAGGACGAATCTTCTTCACAGCGATGTTTTTGTGATCACAAAATGTTTTAATGGGGTTTTTTTCTTCACAGCGATGTTTTTGCGATCACAAAATGTTTTAATGGGGTTTTTTCGCTTTGTGACAATCGGTTCCCTGCTTCGGGAACTGATTCTTCGCATTACGATGATCAAAACAGCTGATTGTCGGATTTTCAAAATGGCCGGCGGCTGCTCAAAATGGCTCCCCGCTGTTTTTAGGAGGCATTTTTCGCAAGACAGGCACCCGAAAATGGCCGCTGGATGGAGGATCTTTGTTGGAGGGGCAGGTATTCAGCCCTTTGGAATGCATTGAACGGTTTTCAATGCATTTCAATGGGCTTTTTTATTTTGCTAAACGACGTTTTCGCTCTACAGCGATTTTGCTGGAACGAATTAACGTCGTCAAGCAAAGCACCACTGTATGTGCATGTTTGGCCTGAATCAGGTGAAGAACCAGAGAAAGAGCTAGGACACGAAGATGGAGACCAACAAAACCCAGAGGAACTATGAGACGTTGTATTTGTAGCTATAAGCCCTCATTGTGAGAAATTCAACTATTGAACTGTGCACTTTTTGAACTATGCTTTCAGCAAAGTTGACTGAGGGAGTGGAGCAAACTCTGCTGGGAGTGGAGCAAAATCTGCTGCTGAGGGAGTGGAGCAAACTCGTGGGTTAAGAAGACCCTGGTAGGAGGATCCTCCTGAACAAAGCAGATTCCACACCTGTCCACTAAGTGATAGAAGACACATTACGCATTCCATACTTCACAATAAGTGATAAGGACCATATACTGCATCTAGGGGGAGACAAAGAAACATTTAATGTGCATGCCCAGCTAGCAACCTGCCTAAAAGGAATATAAAAAGAGTGGTCTGGGCAATGATAATTTGTCTGTTGAGACCAAAAGGCTTTTGGAACTAACTACTTTCCTTGGAACTTGGACAATGCAAACAAAGAATTCTTCTCTCTTTGGTGAGTATGTATGTGGTGTGAATGTGCTGAATGCATGAAACCCCTTTTCTATTTAGAAGTGTAATCAATAGGTAATAAAGTATATTCATTTTGCATTTATTAGTGTGTCTTGTGAGGTCCTTTGGTGTTTAATATTGTTCTTCTTGGGATACAAAAGATCCAATAGTCACCCTTTTGTGACATGCAACACTTTTTTCTCTAGCCAAAGAAAAGTTTCACTCACTGATGATCACCACAAACCAGATGCTATTGACGTACAGTGGTGCCTTGCTTAACGAGTGCACCGTACAACAACAAATCTGCATAGCGATCCCCTTTTCGGGGATCCCAAAAAGGGGATCGCTAACGCGGAGGCATACCGATCGTCCCAATGGGCAAAACTCGCATACCGACGGTTGGTAAGCGTTTTGCTTACCGATCCTCGCTTTGCGATGCCCGCGGATCAGCTGTTTGGCGGTTCTAAAATGGCCGCCGGACGCCTGAAATGGCCGCGCGCAGCGTTTTTGTGCCCTCCCCTCGCTTCCCGAGGGCGCGAAAATGGCTGCCGCTATGGAGGAAACTTTGCTGAACTGTAAGTTTAGGGCCCATTGGAACGCATTAAACGATGTTTAAAGCGTTCCAATGGGTTTTTATGTTCCGTTCAGCAAAGTTTTCACATAGCGAGGGTTAATCCGGAATGGATTAACCTCGCTATGCGAGGCACCACTGTATTTGAGAGCAAACTTGGTTGACCAGTTTTACCAGTCAGCTAACATGTAAAGTTTCAATGATTTGATCCCTATTTCAGTTATCTTCACTGGGTTTTGAACCTGTTTTATATTCCTTTTCAGTTATACCCACTGGATTTTATGCCCTCCTCTTCCAAGTGAAGGTGTTTAGGACAGTTTTAAACCTCCTAATTATTCAACGATGTTTTTGGATTGAGACATTTCTCATGAAACATGTGAATTCCACCTTAGTACACAGTGCAGCTTACTTGATTTTCCTTCCACTGTTAAGGCTACCAGCATTCTCCTGGCAGGACAGCTGCACCTTTTAAGAACTGGATGAGGAGCAGAGATGGAGATTAGGAAGAAAAGAAGGGGGGATTGTCCAATGAATTTCAGCTTGATGCCCGAATTGTTAAAAAAAACAACAACCCAAAGATCTCCCCCTTGGCTCCATCAGGCAAATTCCTACAAAGTGTTATGCCTGTAACCTAATTCAGAAGTGAAACGTAATTTTGCGGACTGTCAGGAACTGACCTGTTGGTGATAAAGTGAAGACCTGCCTGCTTGAACTGCTTGTAGAGTAAGCACAGACTTCTTCACCTCTTCTACCTTGTTGATTCTCCCTCCCCTGCGGTAATTTATACCTGAAAGGGAAGGGAGGTTGCTGAATACTGAATCATGAAACCAGCTGGCTGCAGGGAACTCCTCCCTCTCAACATTCCAAATTTGGTTGCATTACTTTTAAGAAGAATGAGCATTCCCAAAGTGACACCACAGAAGGGAAAGTCCCAGAAGCTGACACCTTTTTTCATAGTTTAACCCCTTCTCACCCAAACAATTGTCAAGGCCTTTTTTCAACAAGTATGAAAGCTAATGAGCAGAAGAGGGTATCCTGTAGACCAGTGGTTCTTAACCTTTGTTACTCGGATGCTTTTGAACTGCAACTCCCAGAAACCCCAGTCAGGACAGCTGGTGGTGAAGGCTTCTGGGAGTTGCAGTCCGAAACTCCTGAGTAACCCAAGGTTAAGAATCAGTGCTGTAGACCATCTGGTGTTGTCAACAAACAGAGTGCTCTTTGCTAAGTAAAGCTTGGCATCCCTTTTGAATTTAGCAATTATATAAATATTAGGAATAACCAACATATTTTCTTATGCCTTGCAAAGCTCAATGTATTATGGAAAACAAAGCCATCCCATGAAAAGACAAGCACCGTTCTGTAAGAAAAAGCATGGTATCATAAAACAATCTTGGGCATCTTCCTGAGGGAAGCTAATGAGGAAGATGAGCAACATCCAGAGATAAGGGGGCTGAAGGCCTGCCCCTGCCTTCAAATATATTTTTAATCACCCTTAGTGTCCTCCACTGACTGACTGACTGATGCTTTCTTCTTTTATGGGAAACAGACCTTCTCTTCCCCTACCATCAACAATAACAAAAAGAGGCAAAATTGCTTTCTATGCCCCCTAAAGGGCACAAAGGAACTTTTTCAAAATACCTGTAGAAAAACAAGGGATTTTAAACTTTAAGGAATGTGGGCATGCTAGGGAGGCTGGGGATACTGTGGGGGCCTTCGGGCTTCTGGGCCCCCCACTTTATCCATCCCATATTATACTACATAACTATGGAAGAGGGCAAAGTTGTAACTGATGGTGTTCAGTGAGATTTACTTCTAGATAAGCCTGAACAATTAAGATAGTGTTGTTAATTAAAGACCAATGCAGAGAAACTTGAGACCTAATTGCTAACATGCACTGGATTGTGGAGAAAGCCAGAGAGTTCCAGAAAAACATCTGCTTCATTGACTACACAAAAGCCTTTGACTGTGTGGACCACAGGAAACTATGGCAAGTTGTTAAAGAAATGGGAGTGCCTGACCACCTTATCTATCTCCTGAAAACCTCTATGTAGGACAGGAAGCAACAGTTAGAACTGGATATGGAACAAGTGATTGGTTCAAAATTGGGAAAGGAGTACAACAAGTCTGTATATTGTCCCCTGGCCTATTTAACTTATATGCAGAATACATCATGCGACTGGAGGAATCCCAAACTGGAATTAAGATTGCCGAAAGAAATATCAGCAACCTCCAATATGCAGATGATACTATTCTGATGGCAGAAAGTGAGGAGAAATTAAAGGAAATCAACCCTGAGTGCTCACTGGAAGGACAGATCCTGAAGCTGAGGTTCCAATACTTTGGCCATCTTATGAGAAGATAAGACTCCCTGGAAAAGACCCTGATGTTGGGAAAGTGTGAGGGCAAGAGGAGAAGGGGACGACAGAGGATGAGGTCGTTGGGCAGTGTCATCAAAGCTGCGAACATGAATTTGACCCAACTCCAGGAGGCCGTGGAAAACAGGAGGGCCTGCCATGCTCTGGTCCATGGGGTCATGAAGAGTCGGATGCAACTAAATGACTAAACAACAACAACAACAATATGTACTGCTGCACACTTGTGAAACAATATTGTAGCTTTAAGAAGAAAATGGGGAAATGAGCCCTAAGCAACTAAGGTCCACTAGTGGGCTGCATACTCAGACAAGTTTTCCTCCACTTAGGTTTTCAAAAGAAAACGAATGATTTGAGATCCCAGTTTGCAAAACTACATGACAGTGTGTGCTCTGCCCTCTGGTGACCATGACTGGAATTGCTGGCAGGGTGACTAAGGGAAAACAAGAACCTTAGAATGCCAGAATCGGTATAAAAATTAAAATGCTAGTGCAGAAGGATCCACTTTCATTCAAGTCCAGACATAAAATGTAAGACACAGGGGGTTAGATTCTGGTATGTTCATTAAGCTCAGTGGTGTCAGTTACTCATAACTTGAGTTCATTTGGATTAATTGGAAAGCATGTCATTTGGTATGAATGAACGAACATTGGGCTCATATCTATACAATGGAAGTTTGAATAGTGATAGCTCCGAGCAGCTTCCTTAGAATGAAGAATATAATGTGAGAACAATTTCAGTGTATGTCCATTTCTGTTTTGTTTTGTCTCAAAGGAAATGCTGACAGATTTGATGTTTCCAGAGCCAGAGAATTTCTCCTTTGCTCGAGAGATGGTGAGTGCTCCACCCTGGAGAAATTTGAGAGAAACTAATATAATTACCTGCCAGATATCCTTTGGTTTGTATTCCTGCATTGAGCAGGGGGTTGAAATCGATGGCCTTATAGGCCCCTTCCAACTTCATTATTCTATGATTCTAGAAATATGATGAATTAAGAGAGCTAAGGTGCCTTGCAGCCCTTGGCTGGAACAGAGGCCAAGCCTGGAAAGGTTAATATTCAAGTCCCAGAAATCTACCAGGTGCATGTAAATGTTGCATCCAGAAGGTCCCCCTTCAATCCTTCACACCCCTAGTGTATAAAACAATTAGTGGTGACTTGGAAAGGCATGAGGTTCTGAAGAACCTCAGAACAACAGCAACAAAACTCCTAATGGAGCAAAAGGCAGCTTTAAGCTATTATTCTGGTACAGTGGTGCCTCCCTTTACGATTGCTACGTTTAACAATGAAATTGGATTACGACAAAGTTTTTGCAATCGCTTTTGCGATCACAAAACAATGTTTCCTATGGGGGAATATCACTTTGCGATGATCGGTTCCCTGCTTCGGGAACTGATTCTTCGCAAAACGATGATTCTCCAACAGCTGATTGGCGGTTTCAAAATGGCCACCGGGTAAACAAAATGTAATTGATGTAGTAAGTATGTAATTTATGGTAATCAGTGAAAGCCCAAAGAGCGCAGTTAAAGATTTAGAAAGAAAAGGCTGAGCATGTTGATATAAGTATCATGGCATTCGGTATGAATGAACATGGGGATCATATCTATACAATGGAAGCCTGAATAGTGATGGCTCCGAGCATCTTCCTTAAAATGAAGAATAAAATGTACAACAAAACATTAAAATGGCTTCAAGAATATGCATTGTGCAATATTCTTGGTTCTGTTCTATGACATGGAATCATGGGCTTCAGCACAGGCTATGGTGAAAAAGACATAAGCATTAGAAATCTGGATTTATCACAGGATGCTGTGGCTTTCTTCAGTTCGGAGGGTGACCAGCAAAGAGGCAAAAAACCCCACAAATGAATAAATCATAAAACCCATAAAATGCAGCAAGCTAGAATCCTATGGTTGCATAATGAGAAACAAAAAGTACAGATTGTTACAGCTTATCATTCTACTGTGAGCATTGCAGCTAGGCTGAAAGGGAACTGGGGAAAATGGAGGGGTGTCACATTTTGTCATCCTCCTTGCTGGTCAAAATATCCTGGGGCTTTGACCCTTTAAGCCCTGACTCCACTCAAGTGGAGTGTAACTTGATGTATTAAAATATGTCCTCGAACCCTAAACTAGTTATAATGAGCACTTGTTCAAAAGCACTATTATCAAAAGCAGATTAATGAATTACCAGCCTTTCAATATTATGTTGCAAACTTGTACTTTCAATGCAAACACAGAAAATCTTGGTGGTGACATGGGAGGGGGGATCCAGCAAAGGCAAGCCAAAACATGGTGGGAGAGGGGAGTCATCAGGAAGGTTTAGCATACAGAAGTAGTTGGGACTGCCGTATTTCTCTTTCTTTTTACTTTTCCTGTCTCCAGGGCCATGCATGTATTAAAAGCAATGACATGTGGAAAGGGGGGGCTCTCCTGTAGTCCTCTGTGGGAGGGTCCTAACACACCACACACCTCCAAATCTATGCGTGCAGAGGAAAGTCCACTACAGAATTCCTCTCTTGACGGGTTGCCACTTGATAGCTCTGGCACTAGGGATGTTCCAGTAGTGAAAAGATGGGCAGGTCTGACAGTTTTTGCTTCTCCTGCATTTGAAATGCTTAAATCTCGTGCTCTGGATGAATTTATGTACAAATCTGTGGATCGGGGCAAATTCTTGTCAACCAAGAACTGAACATGTTTCCTAACTACCTGCAGTGATTAGATTCAACAGGAGGGCCAGGGCCAGGTTCTAGCTGCCACGTATTTCCTCAATTCACTTAAAGAAACAAGAATACAAACAAATCATGTCCATAGGATTGCTCTGCTAAACTTTTTACAGCATAGAGCCTCCTGTGTTACATTCCTGTGAGTCCAGTGCTGACAAAGAAGCAGGACCACTGCCAGGGGAAAAGTACCATGGCCTAAATCTAATAGCTAAGGTAAAGGTTCCCCTTGACAATTTTGGCCAGCCGTGTCCAACTCTAGAGGGCGGTGCTCATCCCCGTTTCCAAGCCGTAGAGCCAGCATTTGTCCATAGACAGTTTCCATGGTCACGTGGCAACCGTGACTAGACACAGAATGCCGTTACCTTCCCACTGTAGTGGTACCTATTTATCTACTCGCATTTTTACATGCTTTCAAACTGTTAAATCTAATAGATAGTTCCACCTAAATCCATTGAATTAACTACTGAATCATAAATCAGCACTCATCAATGTTGTATTGATTCTCTGTGATTCAGTGGGTCTGATGTAGTGAAGGCTAGCAATCAGATTTAGGCCCATCTCCTACAGAAATAAGCTTCCTTTACCAAAAAAAGAGAGAGAGGGAGTGATCTGCAAATCTGCTCTCTTCCCCCCACAATTATCTGTACATGTCACTCAGATATGTGCTCTAAATATATTCAGTAGAGTTGGCGCCTGAGAGAAAAAGCTCCAGAAAAACTCATGCAACCTCAAACTGATGGTGGCTGAAATCTGAGAGTAAGCAGCAACTTTAATGATTTCATGAGGCAATTTCTCTATAAATGCCATAGGATTAATGGGCCTACTCGTGATTTACTGTTGGATTTCAACCACAGTCCCTCATCCAATAAATTACCTTATGTTAGTGCTTCTGGAGTGGAAGGATCAACCAACAGGTGCTGTCATAGCTCAGATGACTGAGGACTGCCTGAAGTCAACCTTATTGAGAAAATCAACTATCTAGAGGCTTTGCAACTATCTGGCAGTGACATATGGAGAGAGGTAGCTGCTAACAGCAAAAAGCATCTACATCAGATGTACACCCATTGTGACTGTGAGAAGAACAGGCAACTTCCCACCCATGTCAGTGTACTCTATTCTACTCAAAACATACCAAGGAAGACTTGGCTAACCAGCTGACTCAAATCCTCTTGATGCTGGGCAAAAGCTATCAAATACATTTATTAATTATAGTACATGCTTCTGACATGAAGAAAGAAGAAGAATCTCAAGTACCCTAAAAGGGAAAAGGCTAATATTTAGAGTTTTTTCCTTAGATAACTCTTTTTTATTTTTTATCCCGTATTATTGCAATAAAGAACATAAAGAAGAATGTCAGAGTAAGAGAAAACAGGATACAGTACTTGATTGTGAGCGCCTACTGCCTGAGATAATCACCTACTGTCACTTTCCAGATCTGATAACGACTGAGTAAAGAAACTTTCAGTCCAGAAAAGTATGTTGTAAAAAAGAGAATTCCCAGCAGAAACAAGACCTTCGGATCGAGGTGCTTTTGGGATTCCTGCATCTGTTGTGCAATGTTAGGAGAGATTGTTAAATCTATTTACCAGGAATATGGGGAAGCACTTACCTGGCTTTGCTTTTTTAAAATGAAAATAAATATTTGGAGTTAATATTTACCCTTTCTCTTCAGTCTGATTTAGGAGGCAAAGTCTCAAGTCTGGACACATTTTGGCATCTTGCAGTTCAGCAGCCATGACTCCTGTCCTGCTCATCTTATGGGCAGGAGCTCTAACTTATCCTATTCTTGCAGCTCCCGGTAAGCCTTTCTATTCATTTCTTTTTTTAATGCTCTCTTAGAAAATGTGCAAAAGCTGAAGTATGGATAAGACCTCACTTGCTGATCATTTAAACCAGGGGTCCCCAAACCCCGATCTGCGGCCTGCTGCTGGTCTGTGGTCTTGACCGGTCTGGGCTGTGGAGACAGCATGCACTCCCCTCGCACGCCCACCTGCACAGCTCCTTTGAACATGTGTGCTGTGTGAGCACCCCCACCCCTTCGTGCATGCGAGTGCGTGCGAGCAACTGCAGCCTCTTCTTGCATGCATGGGAGCATGCGGGGTGCCCCACCCCCATGCATGGACCCCGTCTCCCCCAACCGGTCTGCGGTATCAAAAAAGTTGGGGACCACTGACTAAACTATAACCAAGCTGAATGTAACATGAATGTACCTCTGTCTTGAAAGGGGAGGGGATGAGGATAAAAATGATTTTTGGATAGCATCTGTGGAGGTGGGAGGGCAGTCGGAATTGGGCTTTGATACTGAGTTGCACATATTACCTTATCTCCTCCACTGTTTTCCTGATTAACCTTCCCTTGATGTTGCTGATGGAAAGGATTAATGTTGTGCAAATGAGAAGTGGGAGGCTCCACTTCTCTGGTGTCTCCCTCACACTGCTGGTTTGACTCTAAACCCCACATTAGGAAGGGGAGACTGAAATATAGCACTTTATGAATGCCAACTAGAGATGAGCATGAACTGCAGTTTGGCGATTGGGCCCAGGTCAGTATCACACAGACACCACACATTCCCCTCTCCTGCCTCCTCTGTGTACTCGCTCCTTCTACAGCACTGTATGCTTCCCTCCCTGCTGCCGCAGTGTGACTACCCACTCATCGACTGCAGTGTGCGCTTCCCTCCTCTGCCTTCCCCAGTGACCACCCACTCAGATGAAGTCAAGGAAGCCTGCAATGCTGCCTTAGAGTGGCCAGCCACTAGAGGAGGCAGAGGAGGGAAGCACATCCTGTGATTGGTAAGTGGGCAGTTGCACTGAGGAGGCAGGGAGGGAAGAGCACATTGCCTGCAGGAGAGGCAGGAGAGGGGAGTGTACGGTGCCTGTGCAACACAAGTACAGGCACGGTGCCAAACTGAACCACCGAACTGTGGTTCATGCCCATCTCTAATGCCACGATTTCACATTGTTTGTAAAGTATTTACCAAGTACTCTCAGCCGTTTTTATTATAGTTCTATAAAACAGACCAACATTATTATCCCCTCTATACGTATAGGGAACTGAGTCTGAGAGACAGGACCAGCAACATAACCTGAAATCATGGTTTCCTGTTACTGATGATCCAGCTCGTAATGGCTTGCATAAAGTTGTCCAGTGAGCTCAAAGCTCAGATTATAATTTGCATCAGAGACTTCCAAGCTTATAGTTAAGCCACAACTACTGTTCTACTCTGGGCTGCCAACCAATTTGGATGGCAGAAATAGTGAATGCATTGCGTATTGTATGTCAACCTCTCCGACAGGATGCAAACCTGGAGGTTCTTATGTAGGAGTCAAGAATGCCTGAGTATGCAGCATCCGCTTGGAAAGATGGAAAGATAAAGACTGGTTCAGAGGACAACATTTCTTTAATGTTGGTTATTTTATTAATATTATTAATACTATAATATTTATTTGTGTTATCAATACTATAATAGTATATAACTTGCTTTTTTGGTGAATTAAGGTGATTTGGGAGAATATTTAGTCCTGAAAATAAAATCAAAATCTTCAGCATTTAAAGAACTACCATGCTGCCAAGGAAAGGTCTTGCCACAATACCCTATTAGATTGTAAAGGACTCTGTGGCTGCTGAAAGTCTGCATGGCTTTGCTACAGAAACTAATTCCAAACACAGTTGGCTCTTGATTTCTTAAGCTTCCATTCTCTTCCCTAGAAACTGCTTTCCATCGCCCTTGGCCTAGTGGCCACCTATCAATTTTTCCTATCCTGTCTTCTGTGATATCACAGCATCTTGGCTAATTATTGCCACAAGCTTCAACAGTTCCACACACACACTACACCAGAACACAGACAAAGTTCTAGCTCCTGTCCTCTGAAGATGTTGGTCATAGAGACTGGCAAAATGTTAGGAAGAAAAACCTCCAGAACATGGCCAAACAGCCCGAAAAACCTACAACAACCATCGGATCCCGGCCATGAAAGCCACAAAATCTCATACTACATTAGACTAGATTAAGCATCCTTCAGTCTCGAGAGACTATGGTAATATGCTCTGTATGGAGGACTTGGAACAGTGTCTAGTGTGGCTGAGAAGGCCAATTTGAGCATGACAGTCCCTTCCACACTAAAGACAATCTGTCCCCTGTCCAGCTCCCTGATTTTGCTGCTTTCGGGACTGCCTCTTTGCCTCGGCCTGTTGGACAAAGGTCTCTTCAAATTGGAAGAGGGCGTGATGCACTGTCTGCCTCCAGGCTGAATGATCAGATATCAGGGTTTCCCATCTGTTGAGGTCCATTCCTAAAGCCTTCAGATCCCACTTGCAGATATCCTTATATCGCAGCTGTGGTCTCCCTCTGGGGCGATTTCCCTGCACTAATTCTCCATACAAGAGATCTTTTGGAATCCGACCATCAACCATTCTCACAACATGCCCAAACCAATGTAGACATCGTTACTACATTATAATGAAGCTATGTTGTCCAACATACTGTATGACATATATAATAAAGGTTACTCCAGTTTCTGCAAGAATCTCCCAGAACTGGACTAGGGCTTAAATCCCCACTTGGCTATGAAGCTCACTGGGTGACCTTGGGCCAGCCTCTGATTGGCCTGCCTCATATAATAGTGGGGTAGGTGTTTTTTCCTAGTACTGTAGATCAAGTGAAGGTTACAAGGGATATTAAGCTGTTCCTTGTGTATTTCAACTTGAAATTCAACAAACCCTGATGTACCTCTTAGTGTTGTTCTGAGGATAAAATGAAGAAGAAGATAATGAAATGAACTACCTTGAGCTCACTGGAGGGAAAGTGATATAGAAATGTAATAAATAAACAAACAGAAGACCTACATTTACTTTACTTTACTTTTATTGAACTTATACCCCGCCCCTCCAGACAAAGTCTACTTGGGGCGGCTTACACGAGTAATAAAACACAATAAAAATAACATACATAATAAAAGCTACTAACTAAATAGCTAAAGTCTATATACATTGTCAAGATGGGATAGTTAAGAAACAGAAAATCAGTTAATTGACTGGAGGGAAGGCCTGCCTAAAGAGCCAGGTTTTTAAATGGCTTTTGAAAACACCCAGCGAGGGAGCCAGATGGATTTCCATTGGGAGGGTATTCCACAGCCGAGGGGCCACTGCCAAGAAGGCTCGGTTTCTTGTTCTTTCTTTCCGGGCCCCTCTTGGCGTAAGGCCCCTCAGCCGTCCCTGCTGGCTTTGTCGAGTGATTCAGGTAGACCTGGGTGGGAGAAGATGATCTGCCATTCTTGCCTGTTGACTCAACCAAGGCAATGCTGCCTAGTGATTATTTATTTATTTGAAGTATTTTTACCCTGCCTTTCTCCTTAAAAGGACCCAAGGCAGCTTTAGTTCCCAGTTCTCAAGGTCAACTGGTGCTGCTGTATTTAAGAAGATTAAATAAATTTACACAATCCTTCTTCAGAATCTGCCTTTGGTTCTCAAACTTTAGGCAAAGAGTTTATTCTCCCATCATCTGCCCAAAAAGAGATGGTTGGGCTGATTTATTTCTGTAATGTGGGAGAATAGCAGTTAGTTAGTGATCACACAACCTTTTATTTTTGTCTTTCAGCCTGCTCCAGACCACCTCAAGTACCATTTGCTACCGTCGACGTATTCAAGGCAGAATACAATGTTGGAGAAGAAATTACATACCAATGCAATCCTGGGTATATTGCTCGGTCAGGCTCAAGAAAATACATTTGCCCTTTGTCTGGTAGATGGCCTTCAATACTGTTGACATGTATACGTAAGTACATTCTTCTACTGTATTTTTGTTGCCTTTTTACTCATATAAATAGAGCAAGAACTTAGTTTTTGAAAATAAAAATTGTTTTCAGGGTCCCTTTTTCTGTCTTTAGTAACCCTCCTGTTTTAACTTTTGAACCTTTCACATTCCCAGATGTGACCACTTATGCTTCCCCACTTCCTCAATAGGAAAAAAAATTAGCAATACACAGTGCTCACATCTGCTTTGCTATGGGCTAATTTACAGTAAATGTTTGTGATGAGCCAGTCTCTATGTAAATCTCACAAAAAAAGAATCTGATTTCTATTGCCTGTACAAAAGAGATACCAGTGGAGCTACAATGTTCACATGGGGCAGAATATATTGGTTTAAGGGAAGTCATACAGTATTTTCATGCTTTAGCTTAATCCACTCTAAGTGTATCTGTAGATAAGAAAATCTCAGCAGTGAGACATAATGATTGTAAGGACTATTAACACATTTATTGAGTGTCAGTGGACTTTTAATTGTTGGTATTTAATTTTAATCACAATTAAAATAGAGTTTTAATTACATTTATAATTAATTATGTAATTTAGTAACTGCATTAGAATGTAATTAATTTATTACTTCAGGGCTTTAAAATTAATATTATACAGTATATAAGAATGAATATGGAAGGCAGCCCAGGAAAAGGAGAAACCTCAGAGGAGCAGGGGAAGTGTTAAATTTTCTGATATTGCGAAGAAGATAATTTATGAAGCCACTTCACAATACTGGAAATTGAAACTGGAAGGAGCTTTGGCATCCGTAAGGCTACATTTTAGTCCATTTCCAGCAACTGCATGCACTAGCAACAGACTATGCTAGAGCACACTAACCTGCACCCCCCCAAAAAAAAGAAAAAGAAAAAAGAAAGAAACAAAGAAAAAAGGAGAAATCTCTAAAAGAGGCTCAAAAAGGTGCAAGTTTAATGTACCTTGGTGGCAAATTGGGGCCAGTGCTTCCACTCGTCATGTGGTTGCTGGAAGAAGAAAAGAGCCGATCTACTCTCGCAGCACACAAGCAGAGGGACAAATGCCCATCTGATCAAACCCTGTCAGCTGCTTAGATAGATGCAGGAACAACAGATTTCCTTGCGATGGAAACAGGTGGAACTGCTGGTTTCCTCTGACACATGGCTGTGAGGAGTTGTTCTCAGGCAATACTTAAATGGGAGAACATTGAACTAAGAAGACAAACGGGTCTGAATGCCAGTTTTAGTTACTGAAATACGGGGTCAAGGTTAGCTATTCAAGTGCCTTCTTTCTTCTGGCTGATACCTACAAGCAATATCGGTATCAGGGATTTAAACTGCTGTGGATTGATCTGCCTCATGAAGTAGCCTCCCATCACTGTGCCTTGTCTTTCCTGGATCTCCAGGATATAGGACAGAGAATCCTCTAAACATCAGCTGCTACCTGAGCTTTTAGGTAGGAGATCCTATGGCTCGACCCCCCCCCCAGTCCCTTCTATTTGCAGAGCATGTGATCTTCTACTGTGAGGGAAATCCCTGTCATCAATGGGCTATCTAAACCAGAGGTTGGAAATGTTTCCTTTTTGAACTAGAGCTTCCAAAATCCTCCAGGCAATAAGTCTCGTGGTTGTACTGTCTCAGGGATTCTGGGAAATACTGTCCAAGAAAAGCAGCTTTTGTAATTTCTGGTCTTAATCTGGGCGACTGAACTTTATACTGTCCCTAGAAGACTGTTGGAAGGAAGGAATGGCTCAACAGTATTTTGCATTATGTGCCTGTGATGTTAGAGACAGAGTCCCTCTAGTAACCTGAACTTTCCTTCACTCTTGTTTGTGACCTAGATTGGTAATCTCAAGAATTTATTCCCCACCTAGCTTGCTACCTATCCTTGCCGTACAGCCATCTCTGTACTATGTAGCAAGCTAGCTTGTCTAGGTGACCTTTCTCTCCACAATGGAGTTTAACAAAGCTTAGTCACCATACTTTAAACTAAAATTGGTTAATTTACTTCTTAATCTTATCCACTTGCAAAATCCCTATAAACTTTTAATGATACACTGTGCTTACTAAAATGGCTGTTTCACCGTGAAACCGACCAACCTAATAGTGGATATTTTAAAATGACTTGACCTTCTTAGCTCTGGAACTGTTTCATGTCTGTTTCTCTCTCTCTCTCTCTCTCTCTCTCTCTCTTTTCATCTAACCTATCTGTCTAAATATAATGAAAAACTATTGTATATTCAAACAGCAAGGAAATGTCTTTACCCTGGGCCTTTAGTGAATGGAAATATACAGCATACAGACCTGAGCTATCCCAATTCTGTGAACTTTTCATGTGACCCTGGGTAAGTTATGTGTTGTCTTGCTATTTAAATGGACCTTATAATCTCCACCACTTAGCTTTCTGCAATGCTCTTCGTGCCATTTATGAGCAATAATTCTCATACTGACAAGAAGCTGTTGTCTTGTCTATGATGCCCTTTTGTTTGCCTTGCAGTTTCTCAAATCCAGATTCACGCCTCATTTCCTCAGACATGGTATTGAGAAAGGTTGTTATATCTGGGAACAAATAAGAACTAGTACTATGTAGTTACAATGGATATCCTAGCCCAGATGTCAGAAAGCTTGGTAAAGCTGGCCTATCAATTCCAGAGGATGAGTGAGTGATTTATTAAACCATCAGTTAGTGTGGAAGTATACAAGCCTCGGATGTGACACAGAACAGTTCACAAGTCACGTGTAATTCAAAGTCTTTATCAAGTCAAGATATTGGGCAAAATCCTATTGCATAAATTTATGCTGATGGGAGCTCATGATATCATCAGCTGCACCAGTAAAATTTAATTGGGCTTCCTGTCCACTCCCTTCTTTGGTTCTGAGGCTCCCTAGGGCTCCCCTTTCTAGAATGGGGAGGGGAGAAGCCTTTAATTGCCCCAAATAGCCACCAGATCACTAGTGATGGTTCCACTCCTGGCAGCAGTGATCCAGCAGCAATTCTTTTTGTAATTAAAGGCTCCCCCTCCCTTGTCCTGAGGCTCTCAAAGGCTTCCCCAGGGCAAAAGAGAGAGCCAAAGAGTGTCAAAATCTAAACCAGGGAGCTAGAAAGCTTTTAATTAATTTAAATTCAATTTTGCCAATGCCAATTAATAATGTCACCAATTCCCACCAGCATAAATAAATATACACCAGTGGAATTTGGGTCATTGAGCGAAATACTGTACGAGCTAAATACAATGTTAGTCCTACCTAAAGTAGACATGTTGAGGAGAAGGAACTTGTTAAGTCTCAGTTGACCTAAGTCCCATAGATGTAAGTGGGCCGCATTTAGGTAGGACCAGCACTGGATGTGGCCTTATGTTTCCAGTATCAACTGGCAAAAGTGGATATTATTTTAAATGCCAATCTTGGCATGCTTCTTACAGGAAAAAAATTATATAGTTTATTAAGTATGAAATGATTGTTGTGAGCTTTGGCATACTTCTCAGCGCTGATAACGCATCATTCAACCAACCAACCCAGATATGACCTCCATGTGTTCAGAAGGCTTCAGTGTTGAGAAAGGTTTAAAAAAAATACTGCTGTTATATAAAAGTTTTATTTCACAGGTATAATCTTCAAGGACCGAAAACCAGTCATTGCCAGGCAGATGGGCAATGGAGTGCAAAGCTGCCTCAATGCCAGCGTATGTGTGAGAAATTACTAGTATGTCTATAAAGAGTCTGGTTGTGCTTGACCTATTAAGGGAGGGATGGTGTAAATTGATCCTGAGTATTCATAGACCTCTGGGAAAACTGAACTTTGCCCATGTAAGAGGTTATTCATCCTTTCTGTGGATAAACTACTACTGTACCAGCAAGAGATCTACACTTTGGCACATATGACTACCATAACTTTTTAAAAAGCCTGAAAGAGCACATCTATATATCTATCCCTCAAAAGGGGACACATGAAGCATGTCTCAGAATAGTTGAGTTACACCTACATTCCCTAGAAACCTGAAGAGTGGTCACAAAAGTAGCATTTAACAATATAAATATTGGGTGGGGGGAGAAGTTAGAAGAATTGAACAAATCCAGTCGCAAGATACATAGGACCCATCTTCAAAATATTGTAGACAGAAATACTCTCATGATACATGAAAGTGATACAATAGAATCATGCAATGCACTTTTAAAGATCAAGGATGAAAATGGGACTGTTGAAATCCTTTGCATACTTATTTGAGAGTAAGCTTCATTATCCTTTGTGGGATTTTGAATATGCACTTAATCAGCCAGATTATAAGCCTGCTTTTGTGATCCTTTAAGGGACGGTGAGATGATGGTGGTGGTTGAATGACTAGATTTAAAGAAAAGAATTAAGGCACAAAATGCACGAATGCAAGGGGAGGAAATGTTGAATCTGTGTAGAGTCTGATTTATTGCCCAGCAGATTTCAGGTGATAAAGTTCACAGGTAGGACCCTGAGAGAGTTCTTACAGAGAGAACCCCGATAAACCTTCTGTGTGGAAGTTGTTGAGATGAGTGTAATTTCTGTTTCTGAGAACTGAGGTAAAGTCTTGGGGGCAAAGTGTAACCCTTTGTAGGGCAATGAACTATATTATGCATACCTATTATACCTCATTCCTGAATGACTGCCCTAAGAAGAAGGGCAAACTATATGATGCCTCATATTTATAACCATCTCTTTGGCATTTCATGGTTCAGCAAATACTCCTATATATTGCGGATTGTGAATTCTGTACCGAGCATTTACCTTTTCTGTGAGTGTTACATTGTGTAGAGTAATTTTACTTTCCCTCTTTCTTTTCCAGCTGTAATTTGTCCTCCACCTCCAGTGTCTGAATTCTCAGCCCTTCTCTACCACAGATTTAAGCCTGGCAACATATCAGTTTTCCAAGATAAAATCAAATTTGATTGTTTATCACCTTTAGCTCTGATTGGAAATGAAATTGCTTTCTGTCAGGCCGATGGGAGCTGGAGTGCAATACCAGAATGCAGGCGTAAGTACCAATATAAGGATCAGGGTTGAATCAGCTGAGGAATCAGAGCACAACACTTTTGTTCTAGGCTGGATCTGATGTCTAACATCCTGTCCTCTCATGAAATTTATGTTTTTCCTACTCAACACAGGTGTAGAGTGTCCACGACCACAAGAAATAGAAAATGGATTTATAAACTTTGCCCTTCGCAGATCATTTATCTATAAAGATACTGTGTCTTATGGTTGTAATGATCCCTATGTGCTGGAGGGACCTGTAGATTCAAGGTGTGAAAAGACCGGCCAGTGGTCAGCAAAACCAACTTGCAGAGGTACCCCTCAGCATTTCCTTCATCTGTCTTCTTTTTAAAGGGTTAGGGCTTTATCATCTGCCTTGTGCAGTCATAAAAAGGACCTTGAAAGCAAAATGGCAGTCATATTCAGCTGTGGGGCTAGGTGGAATTATGGTATGTGAGCAGAGGGAACAGGCTATCATCATCATCATCCTCTTCACATATGAAGAGACCAAGGAGTTGGTACGTGAGTGATCTCTCCATATGATCAAATCAAACCTTGATTTTTCAGGTTTCTGTTTGAGGATGACATACACTCACGTATGTATTAGCTTGTCCTGAAGGAAAATGTGTAAGGGATGTAACTACTGTACATTGAGAAAAAAAATGTGGAAAATACTATGGATTTTGGGGTGGGTTAATTCACATTTTTCGCATTGATCACATGGGAAATGGAAATGCAAATCAGCCTGGAGTTCTCACCCTCCCATCTGTAGGTTTTTTCCCCTCTGCTACTGGGAATTCTACTTTAAAAAAAGAAATAATGTTACATTGGTTCAGATTTGTGATTGCTTAAACTGATACAGCACCTTCTGCCTCACTCTTCTGCAGCAAGCAAAGCCTCTCTCCGTAGGTGAGACTCTTCTTCTGTTTTTGAAATAGTTTCTCCTCTGTGGGAAAGAGGCTTGGCTAAAAAACAGCTTAAGAATGAAGAGCAAGGCTTAAGAGTTTAAATTTAAGATTGAAGAGTCCATCCGCAAAAATTGGTTTTTTTTAAAAAAGGTAACAAGAAGAAATGGAAGAGATTGCGGACAGAAAAGCCATTTTACACTTTGTTAATGTAGTTATTTGTAATGCTGCCACCTGCTGGGCTATAGATAGAACTGTAAGCTAGGAGCTAACAAGTCTTTTATTTCTTTCTCTTTGTGGGGTCGCTTAGGTTGAACAGATCTGAATTCTCTTGTGTGATTTCGCAGCATATGAATCCACTTTTCCCTCCCTGTCTAGTCACACCCTCAGTCAATACACTGAGACATTCCTGCCTAAAAAACTGGGTAACTGCTGCAAGGTTTTTGGTTTTGCATTAGCAGTGAAAAGACTAGCATCTCATTCATCACCATGTAAACTTGTAGTTTTTCAGCAAAAAGTATACTGTATGTTTAAAAACTCTCTTAAGGGTTTTGGCACAAGGTACATTTTGTACAAAATAGATAATGGGTTTTTACGCATCAAAAGCATTTTAGTAGGGGAAAAATATTTTGGAATTTCGTTTCTTTCCAAAGTAATGTACTGAGATGTGAAAAATGTGAACTCTTGGAATCTCAAGGATAAACTTTTCCTTTTCACCTAAAAATAGAAATAAATCAAGATGTGCATCCTTAGTTATGGTTTGTGTGAAATCATCTACGCTTAGTATGGCTTGTCTTTTTCAGACTAGGGGGTATATTCAGAATGACTGAACGTTGAGTACAAATACAAGTCATTGTTGCTATTTTTATTATAGTGTCTATGAATGCATCACATAATAGCTTATAACACTTAGAAAATCTCACTAGTGATGGAGAGCAAGACAGGTCTGCTTTTAGGTATTTATTTCAAAATATTTCAGCATAGCTATCTAATCTCCCTACATTAGTTACAACTATTTTAAGAAATATTTGAAAAACATGTACACATTTTGGCTCAGATTTGGACCAAAGTTAGTCATGACTAATATAGGTTTAATTATTTGCAGTGGGGGTGTTGAGCAACACCGTTTCTAGATTGTGGCTTTGTCACATGATTATAGGCGTAATAGGTAACAGTGATATTATAGTAGTATAATTATTACCTTGTAAAGATTTTTGACTAACTGGATGCTTTATTATATAACCACAATCTCTCTCCCTCTTTCACTTGCAGCATCGTGTCAAATACCAGTTAAAAGAGCAACAGTATTGTACAATGATCAGAAAGTAAAGGTACAAGACCATCTCCAGAATGGAATACGACATGCTGAAACTATCTGGTTTTTCTGTAAAAACAAAGAGCATCACTGTAGTTATACAGCACCTGCTCAGTGTATAGACGGAGTTCTTACACCCCCTGAGTGTTTCAAAGGTATGGTCAAGATTTTCTCGTAGCACAAATGGAACACATTAAATGACCGTCACCATATTAAGCTGAAGCTAAACTCGATGTCTAACAATTTAAGAGGTGGAAGGGAAGTGAAAGATATCCTTCAACATTATGTTCAGTAACTTGCTGAAATGAAGAGAGTAGTGATGGCCCATGGGAGAGGATGGGAAATTTTGCAGGGAAGGGGAGGGGGGTAGAGACAGCTATCTAAGGTGTTATGAAGATCAAGTGAAGACGCGCACAGCCAGTCTTTCTTTCCCAAACCCACCTGGAAGGAACAGAAGCCCCAGTGTCTCACAAGGCAAGAGGATTAAAGCCTTCGGAGGCATGTAATAATTTGATTGATTGACTGATTGTATTTATATCCTGCCCATCTGATCAATCGACCACTCTGGGCGGCTACCAACAGACAAAGATAAGTGCTCCACTTTACAACACAGTCAAAGCCCTCCGTCCTCACCCATTCAGAGCAGCTTGGAGATGAGCAAATTTTTATTACTGCTGAAATCGGCATGAGAAGAATTCATATGTTAGACTAATATATTGTTCTTAGATTGGCTTCCTAAGTACAGGCTGACTTTCTAAACTTCAGGGCTGCCATTATAGAAACAACATGTCAGGTCCAGGCTGATCGGGAGAGCTGGCAGGAGGAGGGAAGCACAAGGTGCAGGATCAAGGGTAACTCCTCATGAGCACCTGCTTTTACAGTGACTAGAGCTGAACAGAAGCCTGGCTATTACAAGAGGCTCAGAACTGTATCAGTTTCGTTTACTAGATAGGTTATTAGCCTAGGAGTCAAGGGGATCTGGGTTCAAATCCCTAGTTGCTTATGCATGCTCACTGGGGTCCAGTAGCAATGGTAAGCTACTTCACGAACATCTCAGACATACCTTGAAAACCCTATTAGGGTTGTTATAAGTTGAAAGCAGTTTGACAGCATATAACATGACTCCATTGTGAAAGCCTTAAGGCAGAAATTAGCTAAGTGCAGTTACGGCCCTACTTATGGCCCTCCAATACTGGTGTTTTGTTTTGTTTTTGCAGTCCCGAGCCTTCCCCACAACTACCTTTTTCTGTCCAATAAAAAAATGTGGATTGCTACTCTTGGAATCTCCCAGGAGGGGATATTCACTTTTAAAGGAAAAGTGTAGGATTCCTTATCACCAAGATTACTAATTATTAAAATACAGAAATGGAATTCCAGTTATGGGGTTTCTTTTCTTTCTTTCTTTCTTTCTTTCTTTCTTTCTTTCTTTCTTTCTTTCTTTCTTTCTCTTCTTCTTCCTTCTCGGCATTTGGCAACTTGTCCTGAGCGCTGTGTGTCTCAGGATCAAACAAGACCCCCCTAGATCCTGCCTTTCTCCTTAAAAAGTATCCACGGTGGCTTACATCAAGCTAACAATGGCAAGTATACAAATACAAAAAAGGATAAAATAAATACCATATTAAAAACATAAGCAACACAAATGGCCACTGGAGACACACAATGGGCATTGGCATATGTGCTCCTGGGGCACAAAGCTCCTAATATCCATCCAATTGTTGAGGCCTGGTCCCAAAGATGACACCTTTGTTGTAGGAAGCCTCTGAGTCCAGAGCTCTTGGGGTGCCTGCTTAGGGAGAGTCTAGTACTGTACACTGGTATTTCAGCTGCTCAGTGCATGTCTGGACAGCTTCTGGATATTAGGGACATGGCATAAAGTTCTTCAGAATGCACACACACACACACAGAGGAAGATTGCTCGGATTACAAATAACAGTCAAATGGCAAAAACATAATTCCATGAAAATTACATTTTTTCAACATAAAAGCTGATCTTAAGGTGCCACAGTAATGTACTGTACATGGCTTGCTGGTAGGAAAATATTAAGTCACTTCATGTTTCCCATGGCCTAGATTGATGATCAGTGTTCTGCAGAATTGCTGTGTTTTAGTGATAGATTGTGCTAGTATCCCATGGAAACTATGGTTTATAAGGTGTCATTGAGACTGATAATTTTTTTCCAGAAGTAAATATCTTACTTAAATATATCATTTATTTTGAACAGAACGTTCTTGGTTTGCATCCGTCTTCAAAACAGACATAGCTGACCTGACACCATGTGAGAACATTAACTGAAGAAGCAATCTCCGGTTGTTACAGAAGACGCACATAAATGAAGCATCAATGTTCCTTCCAACTACATGCACCCGCAAGACAATCATATCTCTGACTACGCTTTACGCACATTTTAAATGAGAGTTTGTGTAAATCAGTTTCAGCTTTGATGTAAATACGGAACGTTGCACTATTATGCACACCATTATTTCCTTGTTGGACAATTTATATTAATTTGTAGAATTTAAATTCTTTTTTGAGTTAAACACACACACACACACACACACACACAAAGAAGTTTTGCACACTCCCCATGTTTTTGAAAAGTGTGGAGGAAGCAAAAGCAAAGCATGCTGCTTCTTTACCGCCCCATAGCACTTAAATGACTCCCTGGGCGGTCTCAGTTGCCTAGTTCATCAGGTAGATAGGTTAGTATTTGTAGTGGAAAGCAGAGCCCTAACTAACAATTCTGGCAGTTGGGTAGACACTCCCAGCTGCTTTGACCAGAAGTGTGAGCATGAAACTCTCCAGAGAAAAAAAGAGAAGGAAAATGTTGTGTCTCCCACAAAATAAAAATTTTACACTTTCAAAAAAAAGCGAATAATGTCATAAAGTTTAGACTCGCCTCTAGATTTCTGCAAAGCCCTTTTAATCCTACCCTACTAACTTCCCTGCTGGAAAGCACTTCTACTTGGGCAAGGCAGGCAGAGGATGTTCTCTATCTACTAGAGCCTTATTTATATACATCCTTTTCCCACATTGTTTCTGTTGGGTGGGGATTGGGAACTCCGTGGATGAGTGCGGGATGGGGCCAGGAGGACTGTTGCATTTAGAAAGGGGGGGATTAGATGTCTTGCCTTGTGTGGGTAGAAATACCGTGTACTAGCCCAGATCACTACTGGATATAATCTGTAATCTTTAGTTATTAACATTCAAATGGTTACGATAACTTTTACAATTGAGAATAAACAAAGCAATTGACTGTGTGGAATGGCCAACACTAAAGACTTTGTTAAAGGGTTGGGGTTTTGGAAAGAAGTTTAGGGGGATAATAGATCAATTATATTTAGAGAATACCTCTGTAGTAATACTTAACGATGGGATGACGGAACAAATACCTCTAGGCCGAGGCACCAGACAAGGTTGCCCTCTCTCTCCAGTTCTGTTTTGCTTGGTTATTGAAATGTTGGCAAATGTAATTAGGAATGATGATTTATTTGAAGGTATGGGAGAAAACAAGACAAAGATTAATTTATTTGCGGATGATTCCTTATTGACAGTGAAAAATCCGTTAGAATGTATAGATAAAATTAAAACCCACTTAGAAAAATTTGGAAAAATAACCGGATTAAGCATAAATTGGCAAAAATCTGAATTAATGTTGTTTAATTATAGTAGAATGGAACAAGAAAGGTTTGCTGAAAAACATGATTTAAAAATATGTAAAACAATTAAATACTTAGGAATAGATTTAGCAAAAAAT